CGCCCCCTCCCGCCGTGCTCCCCCCGTCCTCCTGGGCGGGCCCCCCCCTCCATCATGCTCCCGGCTCGCCCCCCATCGTGCTCCCGGCAGGCCCCACCCACCATGCTTCCAGCGCGCGCCGCTCATGCCCCTCCCCTCTTACTCAGGTCGCAGGGCGGTGCGTCCTTGTTGTGGCTCGTGGAGTTGAGAAAAGTTCGGCATAGCCACGGAGCAGTTCTGATTTCACCGTCCCTTAGGGGCGTTTAGCCAAACTCCGTGCAGGCGAGGAAAGGAAAAGGAGGTTAGAATTGCGTGTGCGTGTGTGTGTTTATAACATTGCTCTGGAGATTTTCGTTGTTTTTCTACGGAGAGGCAGTCCCACGTGGTGGGTGCGAGGGTGGGCTTTGGAATCCATCTGCCAGGATTCAGCCCCCGCGTCACCCCCTTCCCAGGGAGTGAACACCTTAACTGTCATCCTCTGTTCCCTGCCTGTGCAGTGGGGACGATATAACAGACCTACCATTCCGCAGTCTAAAGAGCTCTGAGAGGGGCGTCTGCGTGGCTCGGTGGGGTAAGCGTCCGACTCTTGATTTCGCCGCAGGTCGTGATCTCAGGGTTGTGGGATCGAGCCCTGCATTGGGCTCCGCGCTCAGCGTGGAGTCTGCTTGAGATTCTCTCTCTCCGCCGCCTCCTGCCTCTCCCCACTCATGCGCGCGCGCTCTCTCTAAAATAAATAAATCTTAGGGGGGGCGCCTGAGTGGGTCAGTCGTTGAGCGTCTGCCTTCGGCTCAGGTCGTGATCCCAGAGTCCTGGGATCGAGCCCCGCATCGGGCTCCCTGCTCGGCGGGAAGCCTGCTTCTCCTTCTTCCACTCCCCCTGCTTGTGTTCCTGCTCTCGCTCTCTCTTTCTCTGTCAAATAAATAAAAATCTTTTAAATAAATAAATCTATGTATCTATGTATCTATCTATCTATCTATCTTAGGGGGGTTAAAAAAAGAGCTCTGAGAAGCAAAAGGGATTTTTGTAGTCAGTCAGCTGATAAACCTGCCTGAACTGCCATGAGACAATTTATAGGATTTGTCTAGCTTACCATGAATCTTACACATTTTGCTGCAGGAATATTACTGATTGTTTATAGGGCACTTCCCCAGGTTCTAGTGGGGTTTTTAGGCAGTGTATGATAGATGCAGCTTTTACCTCTGTGATACACAGAAATTTCTAGATTCTGAAACATGGCCTCAAGAGCTTAGGATGAGGGCCTGTGGCTCCGTCCTGCTTCCGTCAGTCGTAGGCTTGATGTCCAGATTGCTGCAGCGGTGCTCGGATAGCTTTTAATGCACCACGGACACGTGAGAAGTGCCCGGTGGCTGCTGACTGGCCAAACCCATAGCCTGGATGACTTAGTGCAGGAAGACGCTGTCAAAGCCCAGTGCCGGAGAAGGAACCACGGAAGCAGTGTTCCTGTCCTGTGAGCTGTGTGACCTTGAGCAGGTTCTTTCACGTGTCTGGGCCTCAGTCTCCTCACCTGGAAAATGTGGGGCTGGACTCAAGCAGGGGTCCCAAGGGGGCCCAAACCCCCTTTGTACAACATATGTGATGCCCCGTTACTGTCCTGAGATAAAATTCATAGATAATATAATCTCCCGTTTTGAAAATTTGTTCACAAGCGGAAGTATTGCCATAAATGTAACACAGAGAAAAAAATAAAAGGAAAGCAAAGCTAAAATAAAGTTGTCCTTCCTACAGTATACAAGTGCTTGGGCCCAGCCTCTCCGGAAGGAATAGCAGAGCCATCAGATGCTTACACCTACTTGAGTAATAGGCTTCGATGTGAGAACATGGTATTTCGCTGACTATCGTAAACACTTCTGTTTGACATTTTGAATTGAGGGCTCAATAAGAAAATCGATCTGCAGAACACACACTCCTGTAGGATTCCCTCGCTGTGCGGCAAACGTGGGCTGACGGCACTGTGATTTGCTGGCCGCCCAGATACCACGAACAGCATTGATGCTAATGATTTTCCAAAGTCACAAAGCTTATTTCTGGTAAAGTGCTGGGCAAAGCCAATCATCATCATCATCTCTCACTTTACACAGCAGCTGTATTCTTGGAATGTTCCATGTGAATTAGAGCCAGGCAATTAATGCCTTTGTGTTTTATATAAATTGAAGTTGAGTCCCGGCCTCAGATGGTTTGCTCCTGGTGTTACATGCATGCGAGCATCCGGGGGGACATTCGAGAATTGTTCGTGTTGTAGGATGGCTTATCACTGTGTAGGATGGTCCTTCACATGGCCATAAGTCCAGCATCTCTGACTCCTGTCCCCTGGATGCCAGTAGCCACCTTGGGGTCATTGTCCTAATGAAACATGTCCCTGTAATTCTGAGCATGGGCTCTGGCACGGATTTGTGCCACGTGTAGACCCACTGGCCCAGCTGACGCCTGGGGCTCCCAGTCCTGCTGCCCCGTTGACTTCTGTCTTCCCTCTCCGGCTACTGTCTAGGCCCAGCTGATCGCACAGTCCATTGGGCAGGCATTCAGCGTGGCGTACCAGGAATTCCTCAGGGCCAATGGGATCAACCCTGAAGATCTCAGCCAGAAGGAGTATAGTGACCTGCTCAACACCCAGGACATGTACAACGATGACCTGATCCACTTCTCCAAGTCGGAAAACTGCAAAGATGTAGGTACTTCTCTGAGCTCAGCCAGCCAGGCAGAAGGCCCGGGAGTGTGGGGCGGCCCTGCTGTGGAAGGAAGGTGGAACAGTTTTGGGGGGTAGGGGGGGCAGGGGGGAGTGTAGTTGGCAGGATGTTGCTGAGGGCTCGGGCCCATCTCTGGCTCCCCTTTCATAAGGCCCTGTCATTAAAGACCACTTTGGAGGGCCGTCCCCACAGTGGGGCATCCTCTGCTCCTGGCAGTCCTAAGCTAAGTTTGGGGTGGGTTCCAGAGGTGAACAGGACCTGAACCCCGCCCTTACCAAGCCCACCGTCTAGGAAAGGGCACGGAGAAGGTAAGTGATGGTGCTGGACACAAGCGCTAGTCAGAGACCCCTGTGCGCGACAGAAGAGAGCAGGGGTTGGGACTCAGGTGATAGATGCTGTGCAGGGGGCAGCCCCGCAAGTTCAGACAGAGCTTTGGAGGAGAACGTAGCCATCTGAGCTGGTCTGGAGGTATGGGTGTTCTTCGGAAAGCGTGAAGGATTTGAGAGGGCTGGGCCAAAGTAACGGAAGCAGGAAGGTCAGAAAGCTCAGGGATTGTCTGGGGAGCCATGGATGAGACAGCCCTGCTGGAGCACAGGGTGTGTGTGGAAGAGGACGTGAAGAGGCCCCCAAAGGGTTCAGGTCAGAACTGGGGGCCTTGAAAGTCTAGCTGAGGGGCTTGGGCTTTATCCAGTAGACAAAAGTACCTTGATGAGAAAGCGATCTTTTTCTTTGGTGATGTAGGTTAGGTGTCCTCTGTTCCCTAGAAGCAGAGCCTGAGACAGGGACTCTTGTTGAAGGGGTTTTGGGGAGAGTGCCCTCAGGAAGAAGCGAGGGTGGGCAGCAGCATGGTGGGGACGCTGAGGAGGAACGTGGCCTTGCTGGAGGGATGAGCTTCATTCTGATCCAGAGGAGGCTCTGGGTCACAGATCGCAGGGCGGGCTTGTCCCACCTCGGGTCAAAGGGTTTGGCAGGCAGTCAGTCACTGACACCAAGATCAGAATGGGGTGTCTCGGTGCGCTCAGGCCACCTTAACAGACTACAGCAGACCGGGCCGCTTCACAACAAAAAACGTATTGTCTCACTGTTCTAGAGGCTTGAAGTCCAAGATCAAGGTGTCCACAGGGTCAGTTCCTTCTGAGGGCTGAGGGGCAAGGGTGTGTTCCAGGCCCCTCACCCTGGCTCGGAGAGAACGGTCTTCCCCCTGTGTCTTCACATTGTCTCCCATCTCTGCTTGTATGTGTCTGCGTCCATACCTCCCCTTCCTGTGAGGACACCAGTCATCCTGAATCAGGGCCCACCCTAAAGACCTCATTTTAACTTGATTGCCTCTGTAAAGACTGTATCCAAATCAGGTTATATTCTGAGGTCCTGGCAGTTTGGCCTCCAACATACGAATTTCGAGGGCAACACAACAACCCATCATAGGGAGTGTCTCCCGTTGGGCAGCTCTCCAGAGTAGCGGCCAGCCGCGAGCTTCATCGGCCAAGAGAAGGGACACCAGCCTGAGAGGGGCTTTGTCAGGCCCCAGCAGCCACCACAACGGCGTGTGTTCAAGCCTATGTGTATCCATGACTACGAGTAAATAAATAATACGCTCTTTGTCAGAGGCTTCCAGAAAGTGTCTTGCCCCTTTGTAGTGTCTCTGCAAACCTTCGCCGACTGCAGGTATCCAAACCTGACCCCTGTCTTCTCTGCCCTGCCAAGGAAGGCCACACAAAATTATGCCTATCTAGAATATGGTCTTCTACGTGCGCTTCCAACCTTTTGGTTGTGATAACCTTAGCATCCCTTTTTCTTTTCCTTTCTCTTCAGCTTGCTCCTTGCAAAGAAATGTTTCTATAATGTCTATTTGTTTATTTTTAACTCAAGAATCTTAAATGTGGGAGGGAATTTGTGAAGCTCTGTGGAATGGGGCAGCCTGTGCATAAAATCCAAAAGCTATTTCTGGAAACCGTAATGCACCACCGACGTCCCCACCCACACAGCCTCTCTTCCCGCTCCCCAAGAACTACGGGGAAAAAGCACCTGGTGTCCTTTGTGTTCATCTGGCCAAGGCAAGATTGCTCATGTGGAGCAAGCTTTACAAGAAATTATACGAACCTGTGTTACATCATTTCTTACCAAATGCCATGGAATCGAGAGAAGACAGGACTTGTCTGGGTCAGAACCATCAAGGAAATGCCTTTCTCCTGTAGTCAAGACAGGAAGTTGGGGGGAAGCTTTGATTTGTGCCCCTACTCTGGGTGGTTGCTGATTCAGGTTTTTGGTTTTGTGTTTTCCTTTTAGGTCTTCATAGAGAAGCAGAAAGGAGAAATCCTAGGTGTGGTGATTGTGGAGTCTGGCTGGGGGTCCATCTTGCCAACCGTGATCATAGCCAACATGATGCACGGAGGGCCCGCCGAGAAATCAGGGAAGCTGAACATCGGGGACCAGATCATGTCCATAAACGGCACCAGCCTGGTGGGCTTGCCTCTGTCCACCTGCCAGAGCATCATTAAGGTACCTGGAAGTGGGAGAAGATGACTGATGTTATACACCTCAGATGGATGATATGTGACTGCTTTTCAGTCATTCATATCATGAACAGACACTAAGTGTCGGGCCCACAGGAGGGAGGACACGGATAAAGGCATGTGCTCGCACTCAGGCTCTGAACCACCAAGTTACTAATATAGGCTCCTCCCTGAAATCGTTCCTAGATCAAAGACAGTATATTTGGCTCACATAACACCACTCTCTGTACTGTGCCCCTTGCAGGCATCACTAATCAATCACAGCACTCTCTTTTCCTAAGCCTAGATTCAGCCTTAACTGAATTTCCTGCCGCTCGGTAATCCAGTTGCTTAGAGTCAGATAGATGTACTTGAGGTGATTGGCCATCCCTGTTGGAAATCATGGAAATGCTTCAAGTCTGAGAGCACGGTTTCCTTCGTGGTGGCCGTGGCTGTGATCCAAGGGAGCGTGTCATCCCCTGGAGCTTGCATAATGGGATCCACACGTGCCGTGAGAAGGGGGGACTTCTGGTACAGGCTGTGTGCTCCCCCTCACACCGGAGCGTAATTACCTCTTGTTCAGCCCGAACGGACACTCTTGCGTAAGGCTGAGGATAGCTACTCACGTGAGACTAAAACGTGAGTATCTGAGAGGAAGAAATTAGATGTTCTTCCTAGAAATTAAGCCCCTGCGTGTATGGCGCTTGCTGATGGCATGGCCCAGTAGGAGCATTCCGCCTTCACTACAGCGAATGTCGACCTCAGCTCCATGCCAGGCACTGAGACCCACAGGCAGACTGGAATCCCTCAGGGTTTCCTGAAGGCCTGGGGGCTAGAACTTAGCTCTATGTGTGTATATGAGAGAGAGAGGGGAAAATGAATGAATCCATGCAATAGTTATCCTAAACTAAGGAAAATCACAAAAGCCAACATCCATGGCTGAGCAGTCCGAGGGTGGGAAGTCAAAGTGAATGTGTAAAGGACGCAGGGATAGGTGCCTCTTTGTTTTTAATGAAACAGATCTATTCTGATGCCTCAAAAGGTTATCTTACCCAGAGAAAAAAACAGTCCTCTTTGGCCTCATTTAATTTCTTTTTGTTACATCTTACACTTAAATAACTTCTATCCCTTCTTAATATACATCAAAGATTAAAGAACGTAGGGGTGCCTGCCTGGCTCAGACCGTGGAGCGTGTGACTTCTGATCTTGAGGTCATGAGTTCAAGCCCCACATTGGCTATAGAGGTTACTTTAAAAAAAAAAAAGATTGAGGAACGCGCTTCGAATGTCCGTTTTCATTCAGACATGTTTAATTGGGCCTCCCTTAGGCTGAGCTGAACTATGGAGAAGCCAAAATATTAGCATGCATGTGGAGGATGACTCAATTAAAAGGGTTCAGTGTTGGGGCACCTGGGTGGCTCAGTCGGTGAAGTGTCTGCCTTTGGCTTAGGTCATGATCTCGGGGTCCTGGGATCGAGCCCCATGTCGAGCTCCCTGCTCAGTGGGAAGTCTGTTTCTCCCTCTCCCTCTGCCCCTCCCCGCCACTCATGCTCACTCCCTCACTCTGTCTCTCAAATAAAATCTTATAAAATAAAAGGGTTCAGTGGACCCTAATGGCAACATAGAGGTGAAGTGCTATAAGCATGCAGAGGGAAGAGAATTTTCTCTGATTTTTTTTTAATTTCATTTTATTTTGTTAACCACCATACATTACATCATTAGTTTTTGATGTAGTGTTCCACAGTTCATTGTTAGCGTATAACACCCAGTGCTCCATGCAGTACGTGCCCTCTTTAATACCCATCACCAAGCAACCCATCCCCCCACCCCCTCCCCTCTAGAACCCTCAGTTTGTCTCTCAGAGTCCATAGTCTCTCATGGTTCATCTCCCCCTCC